TACCCCAAACCCTGGGTAATTCAGCCCTTGGGGTGCCCCAAACTGGGGTACAGTGCAGATTGGGGTCCCCCCGCCCCTCCTGACCCCCCGTGCCCCCCCGGTGCCCCCCAGGGATGACGTGCCAGGGGCACAGCTCGTACCTGGCGGACGAGGTGCTGTGGGGTCGGGGTACCCCAAACCCTGGGTAATTCAGCCCTTGGGGTGCCCCAAACTGGGGTACAGTGCAGATTGGGGTCCCCCCGCCCCTCCTGACCCCCCCTGCCCCCCCAGTGCCCCCCAGGGATGACGTGCCAGGGGCACAGCTCGTACCTGGCGGACGAGGTGCTGTGGGGTCGGGGTACCCCAAGCCCCGGGTAATTCAACTCTTGGGGTGCCCCAAGCTGGGGTACAGTGCAGACTGGGGTCCCCAGGCCCCCCCTGACCCCCCGTGCCCCCCCGGTGCCCCCCAGGGATGACGTGCCAGGGGCACAGCTCGTACCTGGCGGACGAGGTGCTGTGGGGTCGGGGTACCCCAAACCCTGGGTAATTCAGCCCTTGGGGTGCCCCAAACTGGGGTACAGTGCAGACTGGGGTCCCCAGGCCCCTCCTGACCCCCCGTGCCCCCCCGGTGCCCCCCAGGGATGACGTGCCAGGGGCACAGCTCGTACCTGGCAGATGCAGCACTATGGGGTCAGGGTGCCCCAAGACCCGGGTGTTTCAGGTTTTGGGGTGCCCGTCACACCTCCCCCTTACAGGGGAGGCCCCCCAAACCCCTCCTGACCCCACGTGCCCCCCCGGTGCCCCCCAGGGATGACGTGCCAGGGGCACAGCTCGTACCTGGCAGATGCTGCACTATGGGGTCAGGGTGCCCCAAGCCCCGGGTACTTCAACTCTTGGGGTGCCCCAAACTGGGGTACAGTGCAGACTGGGGTCCCCAAACCCCTCCTGACCCCCCCGTGCCCCCCCGGTGCCCCCCAGGGATGACGTGCCAGGGGCACAGCTCGTACCTGGCAGATGCTGCATTATGGGGTCGGGGTGCCCCAAGCCCTCAGTGTTTCAGGTTTTGGGGTGCCCCTCGCACCTCCCCCTTATAGGGGAGGCTCCCCTGACCCTCCTGACCCCCCGTGCCCCCCCGGTGCCCCCCAGGGATGACGTGCCAGGCACAGACCTCGTACCTGGCGGACGAGGTGCTGTGGGGTCAGGGTGCCCCAAGCCCCGGGTAATTCAGCCCTTGGGGTGCCCCAAGCTGGGGTACAGTGCAGACTGGGGTCCCCAAACCCCTCCTGACCCCCCCGTGCCCCCCCGGTGCCCCCCAGGGATGACGTGCCAGGCTCACAGCTCGTACCTGGCGGACGAGGTGCTGTGGGGTCGGGGCACCCCAAGCCCTCAGTGTTTCAGGTTTTGGGGTGCCCCAAACTGGGGTACAGTGCAGATTGGGGTCCCCAAACCCCTCCTGACCCCCGTGCCCCCCCGGTGCCCCCCAGGGATGACGTGCCAGGCACAGATCTCATACCTGGCAGACAAGGCACTATGGGGTCAGGGTGCCCCAAGCCCTCAGTGTTTCAGGTTTTGGGGTGCCCCAAACTGGGGTACAGTGCAGATTGGGGTCCCCA